GAGGGCTAAAAACCCCAGCACCGCTTCATCCAGCCGGGTGTCACGGCCAAAAACTTCTGGGTGAGGGGCTGCCACGCATGGAGGGGGCACCGAGTGATGGAGAGCGCTGGGAGTGGGGTGCAGGTGGCCGAGGGGCTCTGATCGGTGTCAGTAATTCCTTTGCTCTGGGTTATTTCTCCTTCCTAGAAATAGAGGAGGGAAGAGTGAGCGGTGACATCCCTTTCTGGAGAGGGTGAGGCTGCGGGAAGATGTCTGGAAGCAGAATCGGTCTGTGTGCCTCTTGAGGGGAGAGGGATCGGTCCCTGTACCTGCGTGGGGCTGCCTGCCTTGTGCCCCTCGCTTCCTAGAGCTCCCTTCCCATGTGAGCTTCCAAAACTCTCTCCCTTCACAGCATGTGAAGTTCAAGACGGCCAACGCTAGCCCCGAAGGGGAGACCTTCCTCTGGGGGCTGTGAGTTGGGCATCAGGAGGGGGTGTCTGGGGTATCAAACGAGCTGAAAAAGATGGTTTGTAAAAGCGTGGAGCTCAGCCTAACAGCAGGTATTGAAAGCTTTTACTGTAGTTCTTGGCTTGGGAAAAAAGCTCCAAGCAATGCAAATTGGGCTGGATATTTCATGCCTCCATTCTAAAAATTGTGAACAACCGAGGCTTGCTAAGATACCTGACTTCTCGGCAGTTATGGGAGTTCAGCGGAACTTTCCCCAGGGAAAGATGCAATGCGGATGAAATTGGCCCAAGTAAGAGAGAAACGTTGGAGGCTGTGTTGATTTGAAGGAGGGAATGACCTGTATAAAGTGCGTGTGAATAAAAACTTGGCAAAACCAGGTAGCGACGAGCAGAGCGGTGTTAGCAGACAGGTGGATCTGCCGTCTGTCTGGTACGGCTGCCCTTGAGCTGAAAGGAGGCTGAAGGAGGCAATGCAGGGGTCTGCTGGGGGTGTGTTGGGAAGCGAGCCTCGGCACACGTGCTCTGGGTAACCAGATGCCCTTGCGGAGTGGATGCTGAGAAAGCCCGCTCAGAGCTGCCCTGTTGGTGTTGCAGGGTGGGGAGTTAAAGCACTGAACTGGAGAGCGTAGCTCTGGCTTGTTCTTGGCACGGGGGCGGCAATCAAGCCCTAGAGCTGGCAGTGCGTGGCTTTGGCAGCCGGAGCTCTGTCCCATCACGTGGCTGCTGCTACCGCTGCTGGCTCGTCCTGCTCTGCGTGGTGGGAGCAGCTTTGGAGCCTGGCCTGCAGCCAAACGGGGGATTTTTATTAAGGGAATACTCTGTGTTTAAGGTCAGCTGCAACGCAGTTGACTTAAGGGGGGATGTGTGCGATGAATCTGTACGATGGCTTATCCAGAGCCAGGCCAAAGAGTCTGCCAAAAGCATCCAGCCAAAGCTCAGTGTAAGGGCAGGAGCAATAGGGATGATGTTCTGGGAGCTGCCAGGCTGCAGAGGGAACGCCGGGGCTACATCTGGCGAGGTGCTGGGTGGGAGCTGCCCTGGAGTGGGTGCACAGAGAGGGATGGTGCTGCGTCCCTGGAGGAATGGGCTGGGTGCAGGAGGAGGAGAGGCCATGGTGGAGGGGCAGCAAGCCTGTGCCTTCCAGGGGAAGGGCTCGTTTCCAAAAGCTCAGGCAACCTTGAGTTAGGTGAGATGTGTTTGGCAGAGCCCTGTGGCTACACGGGTGTTTCCCAGGGGCTCAGCACAAGCGCTGTGGAGGCTTGAGGTAAGAATTCTGTGCTGGAGGTAAAACCTGCTGGGCCATCTGAGCCGCTATCTGTTTTAAAGTGCAGTAGAAGGAAGAAAGAGGCTCCTCTGTAGGTGCAGAGCAATGTCGGCTAAGTCTCTCCCCAATGCTGGAGCAGACTGTTGCCATCCTTACAATGCCACCTGAAGGCATTTTAGATGGAGCAGTTCTGGGAGACAGTGACCAGCACAGCATGTAGCTGAGCTGAATGAGTACTTTTTAGCCTTGAAAAGTACCAGACATTTGGGATTTTATGAAAGGTGCGGCCAGTTGTGTACAGCAGCTTGTGACAAACTGAGTTCCTGCTCCTACAAAAGCATCTGGTGCCCTGGGGAGAGTCTCTCCTGGTGGGAGGCGAGCTGAATACTGCTTTACGTAGCATTGAAATTTGATGATCCCTGAGTTTTGTGGACATCAGCAGGACTGAGCCATGGGCTTTGCTTTGGGTCAGAAAAGCTCTGGAGCCTGCTATTGCTAGCCTAGTAGGGCAGTGCCCGCCTGTGTCTTCAAATGGTGGCTCTGTCCCTGTGGCAATTAGGAGAGATCTTGTCCAAGGGCACAGCAGGCTCTGGTCCTCCCACTTCTGCTGCAGCACGCTTCTCGCCATGTCTGTAAATCACACCGTGCGAGTACCTGCCTCTAATTAAGCTTGCGGGACTTGTGGGGCCGAGGGAAGCAAGTTTCTTTGGGATGGCTGGGGGGAAGTGGTGCAGCAATTGTCCGACAATGCCTTTCTAACGTGAACTAACCCTTCTTCTCATCTTCCAGAGTATTAGACTATTTTCCTCACAAACAAGCCATGGCTGTGGACGTAGCAATGCAGCTATACGTATGCTCTTCACCCTTGCGAAGAGAGAAGTGTGCCTTCAAAATTGCTCCGAAGCCAACCAAGCCGTTGCGGCCCTGCATCCAGCTGAGTAGCAAGAGTGCGGTGAATGGACCAGAAGAGACGGCAAACTCCTTCACACACAAAGTGAAGAAGAGGGTGTCGTTTGCAGATAGCAGAGGCTTCGCTCTGACGATGGTGAAGGTGTTCTCGGAGTTTGACGATCCACTGGACATTCCTTTCAACATCACCGAGCTGATAGACAACATTGTGGGTCTGACAACAGTGGAGAGGGACAGCTTTGTCCTGGATTTTGTTCAGCCCTCAGTGGACTACCTGGACTTCAGAAACCGCCTCCAGGCAGACTGTGTCTGCCTTGAAAACTGTATGCTAAAGGAGCGATCCGTTGTGGGAACAGTGAAGGTGAAGAACCTCGCTTTTGAAAAGACTGTGAAGATCAGGATGACGTTTGACACCTGGAAAAACTTTGTAGATTACCCATGCCAGTATGTCAAGGATACGTACGGAGGGTCAGATCGGGACACGTTTTCCTTTGACATCAGCTTGCCCGAGGGAATTCAATCCCACGAAAGAGTCGAGTTTGCCATCTCCTTCGAGTGCGATGGGAAGGTGTACTGGGACAGCAACAGGGGCACAAATTACAGGATCATACGGTCAGAACTGAAGTCTGCCCAGGAAGCCGTCCGCCCCCCACGAGGCCCTGACTTCAGCAGCGCCTTTGACCAGTTCGGGAGCCCTCGCTGCTCCTACGGCCTCTTTCCCGAGTGGCCCAGCTATTCGGGCTACGAGAAGCTGGGGCCTTATTATTGACCCAAGAATAAAGTCCTGATTGACTAACTGTGGATGGTGTGTCTGCAGGCCTGGGAGCTGGTCTGAACGCGGGGTGTACGGAAAGGTGGAAGAAGGATGGCTCCGTGTAGCTCTGCATAAGCCTCCCGGCAAAACCAGGTGTGCAGTGCTCTGCTGGCAGCGGGCTTACAGTCAGGGAAGCATCTCTGACATAAAGGGCTGCCTTCCCTGCCCAACTCGGATAACTGCCTCTCCAGATGCTCAGAGGACCAGGAGCTGTTGCTCGTGCGTCTCTTCAGTGCTGCTACTCCTTCCTCTTCTGTAAAGCTGCTAGTCTCCAGGAAAACACTACAGTGCTTATATAGTCTGGCCAAGCTAGGTAGTGGTGGCTGGTTTGTATTGCTTGCCTAGTGTTAAAAGGCTTTTTCAAAATATGTTCTGGTATTATCTTTGTAGTGGGCTGTACTTCAGCTGCAGGGTTCTCCTTGCAGAGCTGGCCCGTGTTTCTCGGGTAATAGAGTGGTTGGCTTGCGGGGAACGGAGCCCTCTCCTTGCACGCATCCTTGTAGCGTGGGTCCTTCCTACTGGAGGCAGAAGGGGTGTTTGGGCGATGAAAATACAACTGTGATGGCAGGAAATTGGCCCTACAGCCTGCCATATTAGGAGACGTATGTGCCTGTGGGAGAGGCTCCGATTGCTTAGTCACCAGTTGTTTTATCAGCTGATCTTGAAAAACCTCTCATTATAGCCTTCATGTTACCAAAAATAGAGGTTAGCTATGTGGTGCTTCTAACACAGCCGTGGGTTGACAGCCTTCCCTGCATTCTTCAAAACCTTCCTGTTTCTTTAATCACGAGTGATCGATGATACTTTTTCTCCTTGATGGACGTCTGAAGTTGGCTGTTGGCCATGCTGCGTCCTGAAAATGCAGTTCTTCTGGCTGTGGACTGTGAAACAGGGTTTTGTCCAGCTGGGGCCCGGGGTCCTGTGCAGGAGGCTGTGCTGGGGTGTTGCAGGAGCTAAATGCAAACAGACCACACGGCTACTCTGTGCTGTGTCCTGTTACAAGGAGGTGACTGTTGGGTCCCTACTGTGGTGGAAGTGCCTTGACTGAGAAAGGGGTGGTATGTGTGATCCCAGCAATGCTTTGGGAGAAACAGGCTTTGGAAATGACATTGCTTTTTTTTTTTTAAAAAAAACCAACTCCTAATGGTATGTTACTCTGTGCCATGGACTGCTTGGCAGCTAATGGCATGGCACCACTCGTGTGTGAGGATGCTGTGGCTGAACCAGATGAACATCAACATTCCCTTGCTGTTGTAGCAGTAGCTGCCAATTCAACTTGTACATGCCCGAACTTTGCATCTCTGCGTCCGTAAGAAGGGGCTCACCCTACCTGTGCAAAGACGTAGCTGTGCGGAGTGGGGAGATGTGGGGTTATCCTGACACCGCCCTGGATGTGAAACCAACCCCAGATGTGAGCCGTCCCTAACTGGAGAGGTGGCTTGTCTTCTGCGCCAGTGCTGGGGTGAGGTGGGCAGCTTGTCCAGTGCCAAACAGCCTCACGGAGCTGCTTGCCTCCTAGTTGAGCAGAATAGCTGAATAGTTTGTAGAAATAGAGGTCAGGGGAATTTTACTTTTTCTAGTGCATAAGCTTTATACAATTTTTTGGGTGCCTGTAGTAGCCTATGGATGGGCTGGAGAGAAACAATGGGCTAGACTACTTAACTTTTTAAACCTGGCTTTTAATTCTGGAGACTGCTGTATAAAATACTTACAAGCTGTTTTACCTAGAAGGGATAGTATGATCCCTGTTGGATGCCAAAAGGGACAAGAGCTTGTAGGAAGAATAGCTAGCCTTCAACTGCTGCTTTTTCAAAACCCAACACCAATGCATCGTCACTGTGCTTGATCACTTAGTCGAGGTGGTAAATCTACTCGCTAGCCCAGAGCTCATCAGGCTTGGTTCCTCTGTTCAAACAGCTTCCCAGGTCAGCCCTTATAACCTGCATCTGGTCCCTCTTGAAGGGGCTGTTGCCTAGCTGGGCTTGAACCTGGTTTTAAACTTTAAGCAAGTCCGAGGGACACTGATTTTTCTTTTTTTCTTTTTTTTTTTTCTTATTTAGTGTATGGTGTTAACGCTGTAAGACACTCATTGTAGAAAAGTGATGTTCTCCTGGCAAGGTCTCCTGCCTGTGGAGAGCTGTTTGTGAGCTGAAACAAGGCATGTATGTCTGGGGTGCTGCGGACGGTGGTATCTCCTTACGGGGCCTGTTGGATTTCAGGCTGTGGATGGGGTGTGCTTAGGGAGGAACATGGAAGATAAGCTAGAAGAGCAATGCCGTAAGTAAAAGCTAGGCTGGGGACTGACTATTTGACCAATAGTGGTTTAAAAATACTACTTGTGGCCTTTCCCCTTTTCCCTTTTTCCATTGCCAATGTGAACATAGAAATGAGGGGTTGCTCTCCTCGCTCTGTGCCTGGAAGTGCCTTGTGGGGTGTTTTGCATGTTTGTTTTTAAAAGATATTTTTGTACACAACATTCAAGTGGAAAATGCACTTTATAATTGCCGTGTAAAGACTCTTTTAAAACTATGGTTCTGTTTTTAGCTGATGGTTAAAATAAAGGTGGAACAAAGTGTTGGCTGTGTATCTTGCTGTCGTCTGAAGCCCCCAAGGGCTGGGGAGGCGATTTGGACACGGGACCAGCTTCCTGCAAGTGGCCATTGCCAGGGAGGAGCACACGTCCGCAGCGGGCTCTGCCTGAAACGGGAACGAGCTGCCGATTCCTGCCAAATCCTGCCAACACAAATGCTTCCAGAGCCTCTGTGGCCGCGGGAAGGAGGAGAGGAGCCAGGCCCTTGTCTCTGTGCTCTTAAGTCTCCCCGCTAACCACTCTGTTCCTGAGCTGCTCTTCATTCTGCCTCTGCCTGCAGTGCCAAGAATGGCTTTTTCAGGTCTTTCTGCATTTGTTTCAGGTCAGTCTCAGTCCTTGCCCCTGCCCCCCCACCTGTTTTGATCTGAGATGAATGCTTTCCCTCTGCCTGGGTACTGGGCTGTGATGGATGCTAGGAGAGGTGTTGCAGTAGGAGGGTCAGGCTCTTTTCTAATACCAAGATCAAGTGAAAGTTAGACCCTCTGTCCCCTCAAACACTAGTTGTTCCTGTTGTCACTGCAACAAAAAGCACTGGCAGGCAGCATGCCGCTTTGCAGAAAGGGAACAACTCTGGTGTAAATGCCGGCCAGAGCCAGTGTCGGGGTTTGACTTGGCTTTGACCGCAACGGCCAGGTCCTGGCGATGCCCTGAAGGTGTTGCATTTCAAACCACCAGCTACTGAGTTGGGTGGCTTTTGCCACTTACAGCTAAGGTAAGAAGGAAAGCTGGGGGAAGGGGAAAAAGCAGAGACAGCCTTGGGGTGGGCTGGCTTGAGGGGCTGCGCAGGCACTGCTTCCCATCTTGCTGCGAGGCTTCGCAGAGACTGAGCTTAGCCTTCGCTCTAGACAGAAATAAAACTCGGCGCCTCCTGACTGTGGCTATTTCTGAGTCTCTCATAAGATGAGCTGTCTTTCCAGGGTGTTTTTGCAGCAGCTGGGTAAGGTCAAGCTTTTGGTTTCTAAGGTTCCTTCCCCCAGTCTCTGCATCATAAAACCAAGCATGCTGTCAGCGGGGTGCAAGCTCTTCCACCAAGCTGTGAAGCTGCTCCCTTCGACAGAGGAATAGGGGATCTGCAGGCACCTGGGAAAAAAGGGTATTGCACGGTGTGTCTTGCCAGTTGGTGATGTTTTTCCTCCCCTGAGGCTAAGGGGAGCCTGCCTTGGCTGGCACCCCCTGCTCTTTGTGCCCAGAGACCCTCCTGGCGTTGTCTTTGTGGTGGGGTTCTTCCAGGGCTGGCAGGTCTACCCGAAGGCAGCTGAGAGCCGCTCTGCAGGAGGAGCGCTGGGGTCTGTGGAAGGGGGGCAGCCCAGGCTGAGGAGGGGACAAAGTAATGTAAGTGTGGTTTTTCACATGCAGGTGGGTGAGAGAGAAGCCCTGCATGTAACCCCTGCCTGACAGCAGTATGCCATGACAAGTCGCATGAGGCAAAGGGCTTCACTTTCTTGGCAACCATTTGCCACTCCCTTTTCCCCTCAAATTCTTTGTCACCTCCACAGCTAACCAGCTGCTGTTAAGCACCATTAAAAATGCTTCAGATAGATATCTCTATTTTTTACTGTTCTTCTTTTAATCAAATGCACAACACAGATCTCTTTCAAAAGGCAATCTGATTGTTTTTCTGGTTGCAGGGGGGAAAGAAAAAAATTTAAAAGCTACTTAACCCCTGCCCCAGCACATTGCCAGGTGATTTGGGTGGCTTGGCCAGGGCTGCTTTCACATCCAAGCACATGAGTGAGACAACTGCGGTTGGTTGTTTCCTGTGACAGTTTTGTGGCCAAAAACCCCGTGTGATGACAGTTTCTGTTTAAGCGATAAGGAAGCCCAGGCTAAGCCTCCTGACATCTGGGGCAGCTGAGGAGATGTGCAAGCGTTAGAAGGGCCAAGAGAACTCTTGGGTTTCTCCCCTAATGCCCGGGCGTTACTTGCTGGAGGATACCGACCTTGCAATTACTGCCTTTATAAAGCCCTCGGTGGGAGGTGTGATTGTGCCCTGGCTGTTTGACATACAAAGAGTTCTTACAGTGCTCCTGGCTCCAGCCTGAGGTTCCCAAACCTCTGTATCCTGAGGGTTTTCGGTGCCACCTCTTGGCAGAGATAATTAAGCTGGGATGTCAGGCTGGTCTCACCTGAGGTGGTTGGAGGTTCAGGGTTCTGAAGTCTGTGCTCCGTGGCCAGCTCTGTAAAGGGGAGGGGGGCAGGTGTTCCCCTGGTCCATGCCCAGCTCCCTTTGCCAAGC